GACTGGTTGAAGGGAAGATCTCTAGAGATCTAATTAGATAGCATTGCACAATTGACTGTAACAAAACTGGACTATATATATATATATTTTTCCATAAAAATAAGGAGAGCTTCGGTAGAATGTGGGCAATAATTATATGGACTAGATATATAATTTGATGTACCCAGGTATGCTATTATGAAGTCTAGCCAGGTTTCAGCTGCAGCTGTTCTTTTATTTATTTTCAGATGAAGGGAGCTATTTTTACCAGCCGTTCCGCTCTTTTTGATGCAAAAACTCTAGCCCCATTATTACCAAAGAAAGAATTCAGTTGAGATTTCTTGTGGGCATTTTTTGCAGCACTTAATTTCCCTTTTAAAAGCCGTAGAGATATCCCCTGATCCCACAATTGCAGCCATTTGTTTTTTGAGTCGGCGCATTTTATTTGAAGCCAGAATGTTTTGACTCCTCGTATAGTCATTTCAAATGTTCACGGGTTAAGTTCATTGGCGCCCATTTCAGAAAAACCAGTTTTTGAGGTGGCTGAATTGCATCCATGCAAGCAAAACGTTAAGGTGTTCAGTAACATAACTGTGAAACAGCTACACGACCATCCAACTTCATATTATTACAATTTGAAGAGGGAATCAGGTCTACCTTTATGAGTTACTAGCTCAATACCTATGATTCCCTACGAAACTATGTGGTCAGGCTTAGTTTTGGGGGAGGAAAATAAGGGGGGGGGGGAATTCTGCCTCTGCCTACCAGCATCCATCAGTATTCATCTGGCTAGTGTTCTGTCAGTGTGTGAGAGTTGTGTCCTGTCAGTGTGTGAGTTGAGGGCTGTTTGGAAACTGAAATAGTATTTGCTGTGTGAGCAAGGAGACAGCAAGGCGCCTGGGCGTGGCTTAGCTCAACTGTTCTGTACTAAAGCTGCTTGCAGCTGTGAAACTAACACTGAAACTCCTCTCCTCTGCTTGTGTTTCACATTTGGAACAGATTTCTTTTCATGTGGGGAGGGGGAGTAGAACTCCTTAGCATCAGAGCCTTTTAATAATAAAATAGGAAATACTAATGCTCTGATGGTCATTTTGAAAAATCCTTTCTTAGTGAGCCCCTAGAAGCCAAGAGGAACATACGCGCCAAATTTCAAGTTTATAGGTTTTACGGTTCTGGAGATTTTGTGAAGATGCGCGAGTGGTATATTTCGCTTTTATATATATAATAAAGAAGAAGATAGATGAAGCAACAGGTGGAAACTAATCAAGTGAGAAGCTTGAACTAAGGAGGAATTATGGATTGTTGTCTTGTTTATGGTTTTTATAGACTCTGGCTAAGCAAAATAAAATCACCACCATATTTTATTTTGTTTTATTCATTTTATTTTTCCGGAATGTTGAGCTAGGTCAGAAATCAATTGTCATTACTGACAGTTAACCCGAGTCACATGTAAACACTGGAAGGGCAGGGTTACACCAATAATACACCAATAATATACAGACAAAAACCCTGCCCTTTGGGCAGAGGCATTCAGATCATGTAAACTGGCTGATCGTTTTGTAAACTTTTTCACATTTTTAATAAAGTTACAATAGCGACACCAGCACATAATTCAAAACAGCACCTTTTATACATTGGTGTCTGGGGAACCTAGGCACCAAACACAGGAATAATCTCCAACAGGGTAAATATATATATATACACAAAAAGGTATGTGGCCACTTCATCACCTCCCACTGGGAAGTTTCTTTCTGAAATGTTCATGCAGGACATCAGCGGATTTAATCTTCTTTTGGACAATTCTGTAGGAAAAGAACAGAGATTCTTTTAAGCATCGAAGAAACCCCCCCCCCCCATTTTCTCGCAAAAGGAAAAGCACAGGTAGCCCACGTTAATTCATTAGCACTATGAATGAGAAATACAGGTAGTCCTTGACTTACGACCACAACTGAGCCCAAAGTGACTTTTGGCCCTATTTTACGACCTTTCCTGCCAACGCTGTTAAGGGAATCCCTGCAGCTGTTGAATCAGTAACCCAGTTGTTAAGTGAATCTGGCTTCCCCATGGATTTTGCTTGTCGGCAGGTTGCAAAAGGGGATTGCATGACCCCCGGGGACGCTGCGACCGTCATAAATACAAGCCTTATGCCCAGCATTTGAATTTTGATCACAGGACACTAGGGAGGCTGCAACAGTTGTAAGGGTGAAAAACGGTTTAAGTTAAGAGTTGTAAATTTAATCTTAACGACGCTTCTCCTCCGGTAATACTGAACTAAAGCATACAAAACCTTTGCTAGACCAATACTCGAATACAGTTCATTAGTCTGGAATCCGCACTGTATATCAGACATTAATACAATTGAGAGAGTCCAGAAGTATTTCACGAGAAGAGTTACTACACTTCTCTGCTTGCAACAGAATACCCTACATCACCAGGCTTGAGGTTTTGGGCTTGGACAATCTTGAATTCCACCGCCTACTGTTGGACCTAAGCGTAGTACACAAAATTATCTGCTACAATGTCCTACCAGTAAATGACTATTTCAGCTTTAACCGCAACAACACAAGAGCACACAACAGATACAAACTCAACGTTAACTGCTCCAAACTTGAGTGCAGAAAGTATGACTTCAGCAACCGAGTCAATGCCTGGAATGCACTACTTGACTCTGTTGTCACATCCTCAAACTCCCACTCCTTTAACCTCAAACTATCCACTATTGACCTCACCCCATTTCTAAGAGGTCTGTAAGAGGCGTGCATAAGCGCACCATCGTGCCTCCCATCCCTGTCGTCCCCATTTATTCCTATTTCCTGTATTCTTACTCATGTTTATTCTTATACCTATTATTTTGTCAGCGATTGACAAATCAAATAAATAAAATAAAATAAATGATAGATGAAGTGAAAGAGATGATTGATAGACAGATAGATAACTGTAGATAGATCGATAGATATAGATGAAGTGAGAGAAATGATAGATAGATAGATAGATAGATAGATAGATAGATAGATAGATAGATGATAGATAGATGAGATAGATAGATAGATAGATAGATAGATAGATAGATAGATAGATAGATAGATAGATAAACTATCCACTACTATCCACTATTGACCTCACCCCATTCCTAAGAGGTCTGTAAGGGGTGTGCATAAGTGCACCATCGTGCTTACCGTCCCTGTCCTATTGTCCCCATGTATTCGTACCTATTTCCTGTATTCTTACTCATGTTTATTCTTATACCTATTATTTTGTCAGCGATTGACCAAATAAATAAAATAAAATGATGGATAGATGAAGTGAGAGAAAGAGATGATTGATAGACAGATAACTGTAGATAGATAAAGTGAGAGAAAGATGATATATAGACAGACAGACAGAGAGCTGTAGATAGATATAGATGAAGTGAGAGAAAGAGATAGATTGATAGATCGATAGATAGATCGATAGATAAAAACTATCCACTACTATCCACTGTTGACTTCACCTCATTCCTAAGAGGTCTGTAAGGGGCGTGCATAAGCACACCAGAGTGCCTACCGTCCCTGTCCTATTGTCCCAATTTATTCGGTCCTCTTTCCTGTATCCTTACTCATGTTTATACTTATACCTATTATCTTGTCAGCGACTGACAAATCAAATAAATCAAGTCACTTTTTTCAGCAGTGTTGTCGCTTCAAACGGTCACTAAATGAACGGTTGTAAGTCAAGGACGAGGTGTTTTATAGCAGAGGTTCCCACCCCAACCCACCGGACTGTGGCTGGCACCGGGCCGTGGCATGCCAGAAGCCCCCATCTGTGGGCTGCAGGCAGCATGCAAAACCTTTCTCCGTGGAACTGGTCCCTGGTGCCCATAAGGAGCCACTGGGGAGCCACTGTTTTATAGGACGTGCAAAAACAAACATACAAAAAACCCTCCAACTGAAAGTCTAATAATATTTATGCAAGAAGTTAAGAGGCAGAAGAAACTAGCATCCGCTATTGGCTGCTTAAAAAGGAAGCAAGTTAAAAACCAGGTTGTAAAACAGGGGTGTCAAACTCGCTGTCAGGATTCCAGCGATCCCCCTAATTAAATCATGAGCCTTGAGCCAAACTTCAAAAAACTTGGAATAATTCATTCAGAGTGACATTTTGGCACGACCTGTATGTAGCCGATTCTGAGACACGTAATTCACTGTCACCCTTGACCCTGGTTTTCCCCCACCCCCTCTCAGTATATCATAATTCATATTCTCCAACGAAGCACATTCATAGCCAAGAGTAATCAATCATGTTCTCCAATGAGAGATTTGCCCAGCAGAAACGCCAGTCGCCTAGTTACAATCTCTGCAAGATATGAATGGAATTCACTTTCGGTTCCAAACTGCTGCACTGCTCTTTCAAACTCCTTCCCCCTCCTCTTCTGTTGGCAACTATAAAGCAGGCATAGAAAATGTTTTTTGAGTTGACACTCAATTTCATTGAGGGCCACATCAGGGCTGTGCTTGACCTGCCAAATATGGCTGACAGAGGGTTTGTGTCATGCCCTTGTTGGAGTCTGACTTGGGGAGACTGAGGAGCTGACAGGGAGTGGGAGTGTGACTCCAGTGGCTGTGGAAGAAACAGGAAGAGCACAGTCCAGATGCGCATTCGGAGGAAGACCCAGGGCCACCACCCTCTTCATCCTCGGGTACGCAGGGAGGAACGGAGAAAGAAGTAACGTGGCTTACGGGAGAGAAAAGGGCCCTGATCTCTTTCATTAGTTGCAGCTGGGAGAACAGGATATAAGTGGGGCATTTTAAAAAGCTCTTTGCTGGAAGCAAAGCGTGTTTTATCTTGGTTGAGGATTATCTGGGTTTTGGCGTCTTCCCAACTGTGATAACTGCATTATCTTGTGGAAGTCTGCAATTTATCATCCTGGTCTGCCGTGTTAATGACTCCAGTGTGGTTTGTGTTGGTTTTTTTTTTTATTTCTAATTATTTTTACTTTTGGTTCGGACTGCATTTACTTTCTTCACAGACTGTTTTTTGGAAGAGTTTGATATCAAGTTGAGGATAATTGGACATTGAGGCCCAAGTTGGAGGCATGAAAGGGAATTTATTCTACTTTTGTGACTCTGTTATTTTTATGTCACGTCCCGGCTCATCACAGTTTGTTTGCTTTTGCCGGCAGAGGCACCGCGGGCCAAGCCTTTGCTGTTTCCAGAGCAGCCCTGCAGATCGAAGCACCCCACGGGCCAGATCTGGCCTTGAGTTTGATGCCCCTGTTGTAAAACCTGAGTTCTGTTTCCAGGAGAGGGGGGGAAAAACCTCCCGCTTTACTTATACATATGCTACAAGCTTATCAAACGGCCAGGATTTTACCCTTGGCTATTCAGGACCAGACATAGAAAGCCAGATTCTTATGGTTAGAATTACCTGTTCTGTCAAACCTTCTATCACTTTAGGAGTCTGATACAGCAAATGCTGCATTGCAAGCTGTTCTTCTTCAGACAGAGGAGAGATCTAGGGGGAAGAGAATGGAATTGATTTCACATATTTATTTATATCCTGCCTTTATTAGTTTTTATAAATAACTCAAGGCAGCAAACATACATCATACCCCTTCCTCCTCCTATTTTCCCCACCATAACAACCTCGTGAGACGGGTTGGGGTGAAAGAGAAAGACTGGCCCGAAGTCACTTAGCTGCCTTTTGTGTCTAAAGTGGGACTAGAACTCCCCATCTGGTGAATGGCCCAAAGTCACCCAGCTGGCTTTCATGCCCATGGTTGGACTAGAACTCACAGTCTCCTGGTGATTGGCCCAAAGTCACCTAAGCAGTTTTCATGCCTAAAGCAGGACTAGAACTCACTGTCTCTTGGTGATTGGCCCAAAGTCACCCAACCAGCTTTCATGCCTAAGGTGGGACTAGAACACACCCTCTCCTATTGATTGGCCTAAAGTCAGCCAACCAGCTTTCATGCCTAAGGTGGGACTAGAACACACCCTCTCCTATTGATTGGCCCAAAGTCACCCAACCAGCTTTCATGCCTAAGGTGGGACTAGAACACACCCTCTCCTATTGATTGGCCCAAAGTCACCCAACCAGCTTTCATGCCGAAGGTGGGACTAGAACACACCCTCTCCTATTGATTGGCCCAAAGTCACCCAGCCAGCTTTCACGCCTAACTATTGGCTCATTTCGATGAAGCTATGCAACAAACTGTTAAAGGCTTAATTCCCAATGCAAGTTTGCTTTTTATTATTTTTTATATTAATGTTTGTAGATCTCTGAGGGCCATTTGGTGGAAAAGCAAGATATACATTTAAGAAACAGGCAAAATGTTAAAAGAAAAGGTAACGTATTGGCCAATGTTGGCCACGGATAAATTATAAATATAAATACATAATAAATATAACTATAATAATATATAATAAATATAAATATAATAATATAATAAATATAACAACACAAGAGCACACAATAGATACAAACTCAATGTTAACCGCACCAAACTTGATTGCAGGAAATATGACTTCAGCAATAGAGTGGTCAATGTCTGGAATACTCTACCCGACTCTGTAGTTTCTTCCCCAAACCCCAAAAACTTTAACCTTAGACTATCTACTATTGACCTCACCCCTTTGCTAAGAGGTCTGTAGGGGGCGTGCATAAGCGCACCAACGTGCCTACTGTCCCTATCCTATTGTTTCTCTTATTCTTCTTTTATTTTTCTTATATGTACCCATTTCATGTATTCACAACTATGTATACACTTATTATCTTGTAAACAATTGGCAAATCAAATAAATAAATAAATAAAATAAATAAATAAATTGCTTTTGACTTGCCTCACTTGATTTTAAACAGTCAATTAGAATTCATAAGCCACAATTACTGTGTCCACACAATAAGGTAATTTAACCATGACAACTAAATCATAAATTGTTAATATTATAAGCTGCAACTGCTAAGCCAAAGAAACAAGTTATGTCTTAACAATAATGGGATTCCCTGTCACATTTGATTTGGCTGAGCTTGTTGTATGAACCCAGCAGTTAACTATGTTATGGTTTAGCATATTGCCTTTAGGCTAATTGGTTGACACAAGATTACTCAAAGACCTGCTCAATGGCAGTTTTGGAGTTGGTAGAATCCCTTGTTCTTTATTTTTGTCCTTTAATGATTCCGTAATCCAGGGGTGTCAAACACGATTTCATTGAGGGCCACATCAGAGTTGTGTTTGACCACCAGGGGGGGTTGGGGGCATGGCTAGTTTCATGTCAGTGTCGGGGACATCTGTGGCCTGCTACCGAAAATGGGCTCCTGAGCTGTTTTCGGCTGGGATGGCCTCCTGCAACGCTTTGCCAGCGAAAAAGGAGCTCAGGAGCCCGTTTTTGCTGGCAGATGCACCAGAGGCCGGTCATTCCCTGTTTCCAGGATAGCCCTGCAGGCCAGATGTAAGCCCCCCCCCCCCCACAGGCCAGATCCTGCCATAATCCCTTGCATCGGGGTGGAGTTGGGGGCAACTGAATGGAGCTGAGTGATTACTGGCTGCATGCCCTTTCTGTCGCCAATGCAAAGTTCACTCCTCCTCCTCCTCCTCCTCCTCACAAACCTCACTCCCTTCTAGCACTGATGATGTTACCTGGTTGGGTAATGAAAACGCCTGCAAGAAAACCACCAAGCTCAGAGAGCACTAAGAACCTCACAGTCGTCGTCTTCTTCTTCCTCTTCCCTACAAACCTCACTCCCTTCTAGCGCTCGTTGGGCCCAGAGATGTATGTATGTATATATATATTTGTTTTATTAAGTTTTCGTGGGTATTTATATGTATGGTATTCAGCTTTGTTCGGGTATTTTCCCACGTCATTATAGTTGTGCTTTTAAAGTTGTAGCAACGTTTCAGCAGAATCTCATCTGCCATCATCAGGCTTCTGTATTGTGTCCGTCTGTGGGTCAGACTTTTACAGTGGTTTCAGATTTAAATTTGGGGCAGCCTATTGCTGTGCCAGAATGGTTTTTTCTTCATCCTGATTGGTTGGGAGTCTTGGTCTGTGTTTATTGGTCTCGGGGTTTGCTGTGTTCTGCTTGATTGGTGTCTCTAATATCTTCTGTCTGT